CCGCGCCGCTGCCCGCGCAGGCGATCGAGCTCACCTACGAGGGCTTCGGGGCCCCGGAGCTGCTCGTCATCGCCCTGCCGTGGCTGATCGCCATCCCCGGGTTCACCCAGTGGCTCATGGTCCAGCCTTTCAAGGACGAGGACGTCAAGGCTGGACAGGGGGGGGGGGGCACGGTGGGCACCAGAAGGACGAAGCGTCGAGTAGCTCGGGCCTCAGAGGAGCCACCCGCTGTTTTCTCCCACCTGCGTGGGGTGAACTTGCAAATCCGCGCGGCGGTGGCTCCCAGAGGGCAAGAACTACATTCTAGACGCTTCGCGAAACCCCATCAGCCCGTCCAGAAACGATGCCCAGGTGAATTACCCTGATCATGGACGTGGAGGGGCATGCAGCTGAGGAATAAAAGGCTGGGGTGGCCGTCGTACTCCAAGACGGGGAGGATTAACGAGGAATCGAAGGAGGAGGAGGAGGAGGAGGAGGAGGAGGAGGAGGAGGAGGAGGAGGAGGAGGAGGAGGAGGAGGAGCAGCAAGAGGATGAGGAGAGAGAAGAATACGTAGAAGCAGAAGAAGACGAAAGAGAGAAGGGGGAGGGGAGGGGAGGAGGGAGGAGGGTGGAGGGAGAAGGGAGGAATATGTGGGGAGGAAAGGCAGAGGGAGGGGGGGGGAGAGGAGGATGAGGAGAGGAGGAGGAGGAGAGAGGAGGAGAGGAGGAGGATGGATGGATGGATGATGGATGGATGACGGATATGGATGGATGGATGATGGATGGATGAGGAGGAGCGAGAAGAGGAATAGAGGAGAAGGAGAGGAGGAGTAGGAGGAGGAGGAGGAGGAGAGGAGGAGGAGGAGGAGGAGGAGGAGGAGGAGGAGGAGGGGAGGAGGAGGAGGGAGGAGGAGATGAGGAGGAGGGGAGGAGGAGGAGGGAGGAGAGAGGAGGAGGAGGAGAGGAGGAGGAGGAGGAGGAGGAGGAGGAGGAGGAAGGAGGAGGAGGAGGAGGATAGGAGGAGGAGGAGAGAGAGAGGAGGGAGATGAGGAGGAGGAGGAGGAGGAGGAGGAGGAGGAGGGAGGAGGAGGAGGGCGAGCAGAACGGCCAGAGGCGTCTTGGGGCGTCTTAGGTCTTTCGTGGCGGTCCCAGAGGCCTCTTCGGGCGTCTTGGGAGTCTCTTGGAGCCTCTGGGTGGGGGCCGCTCGGGGGCCCCTCGCGGGCGTCTTGGGGGCCTCTTTGGGCAGCTTGGGCGCCTGTTGGGGCCATCTTGGGACTCTGGGGCCTGGGACTTCGTGGGCCCTGGAAACGACGGGGCCGTTTTTCTCTACGGGTTCCGTTTTGCAGTTTTTGTTGCCGGTTCCGACGCCGTTTTTTTGCCGGTTCCGTCGCCGTTCTTTTGCGGGTTCCCGCTCCGGCTCCGATCCTGGAGCCGTTTTTGTTGCCGTTTCCGGTCGCCGTTTTTTGGCCGTTCCCATGTTCAAGGGACCCTTTTTTTTCGGAAGCGGTGAAAAAACGGCCCTGCCGTTTCCGGGGCCCACTAAGGCCTGGGAGGCCTTCTGGGTAACAGATTGGAAGATATCGTTCTGTCGGGCGTGTCCCCTATACAGGGGGATTTTCTACGAAAAATTCAAAATTCCCTCAAAATACACCAAAAAGGTCAAACAATACTCAAAAAATAGTCCCCAGACTTTTTTTAAATATTATTTTTCGATTATCTTTGGGGTATCTTTTATTTTTCGTCGAAAATCCCCCTGTAGGGGGACAGGCCCGACTGAAAGATGTCGATCAAAGAGGGGTGGTCCTCACGCCTCGCTCCTTTGGGAGCTCCCAAAGTAGGTCGCCTCGTGGGGCCCCCATCGGAGCGCTCTCTTGGCGCTCTTGGGACCGTCTGGGGGCTCGGGGTTTGCATCGGCAACAAGAGAGCAAGAAGGCCACAATCATGTATCTTCCCCAGGATTTGCACCGAATTTGGCCTCCCGGGGGCCTCCTTTGGAGTCTCCGCGGCCACTTGGGGCCATCTTGGGGCCACCACATGGGATGGAGGTATCTTGGGGGCCATTTTGAGCCAGCTTGGACCATACTGCGCCATCTTGGAGGCCATCTTCAAGCATCTGGGGCCCTCTCGGAGCCTTCTTGGTGCAAACGCCTCCCAAGGATGCCCCAACAAGCCAAGCATCGCTCAAAACCCTTGTGTGCTCCACTGTTTTTGCCGATTGAAGAGGGTGGGTTCTAATTAGCGTCGCTCCTCTGGAGCCCCCAAAGCCGCCTCGTGGGGCGCTCCTAGGGCGTTCTTGGGGCGCTCTTGGGACCGTTTTGGAGCCATCCTGATGCTTCGGAAAGCTGTCGGAAGCGAAAGGGAGAGCAGGGGAAAATCACTGATTGCCTTTACACGCCAGTCGTTGAAAGTAAGTATTTTTGGGTCCCCGCATCCCAATCTACTTCAAGTGCCTTCCTATTTCAAGAATCGGCTTGCTGTTGCTGTGTTATGTTAATCTCTGGGAGGGTCTGGACCCAATCCACTATATCCGCCTTCCTACTTTATGTTTCTACCAACTTCTTCCGACCGACGAGTAGTTGTCTGAGTGGTTTGGGCCTCTGGGGTGCGCCCTGGGGATGCACAGGACTCGTGGACCCACCTTGGAGCGGTCATCGAGCGTCTTGGCGCGTGCTGGGAGCCATCTTGGGGCATCCTGGGCCATCCATGGGGGTCCCCTTGGGCTCTCGGAAGCCCTCTTGGACCCATCTTGGAGCGGTCATCGAGCGTCTTGGCGCGTGTTGGGAGCCATCTTGGGGCATCCTGGGCCATCACGGAGGTCGCCTTGGGCTCTCGGGCGCCCTCTTGGACCCATCTCGGAGCGGTCATCCGGCGCCTTGGCGCGTGCTGGGAGTCCTCTCGGGGCATCCTGGGCCATCATGGGGGTCACCTTGGGCTCTCGGAGGCCCTCTTGGAGCCCTCTTGGGCCGTCTTGGACGCTGGAGCAGCGCCTCGCGGAAACGCCCCGCCCTCCAGGCCAGGGGAGGAAGTGGGAGAGGAGGAGGAGGAAGAGGAGGAGGAGGAGGGTGGGGAGGAGGGGGGAAAAAAGGAGGATGTGAGGAAGGAGGAGGAGGAGGGATGGGAGGCGGAGGAGGAGATCGCGGTGGGGGGCGGCGGGGCGGCCGGGGGGGAGGAGGAGGAGGCGGAGGCGGAGGAGGAGGAGGAGGGGTCAAGCCACCCTCCTGGATAGCAGGCCGTCTAGCTCACTCCCACCCGCCCTCCCCACACAGAAGACCCCCGAGTGTCCGCAGATCGCCCAGGAGCGCCACGCGTGCCGTGCGCGCCACGGGCTCCAGGTGCGCCAGGTACCCTGGAGGCCCAAGCGTGCCAGGTGCGGCACATGCTCCAAGTACGCCAACTGTGCCACGCCTGGCATCGCTCGGACGTGTGCATTTTTCTTTCGGCGAGGACCATCGAGGAGCATCCTTGATCATTTTGCGAAAAGCCACGCACGAAACCGAACAAAAACACGGACTGGACGTCCGAGCGAGGGCCAGCACGTGCCCCGGCCGCACCAGTGGCGCCAGCCACGGGGCACCAAGAGGAGCCCCGGCTGCCTGGGGCCCTGGCCCCAAGGAGCTCAGGATCTTGGGTCCCCCTCGAGCGAAGTGCCGAGCATCCCGTGAGAAGGGCGGCACCTCCAGGCAGCACAAAAAGCACTGGCACCACCGATGGACAACTTGTGACATCTTGAGAACCGTGAGACAGAGGAGAATTCGGAGAGGAGGGCCCTGCGCATGCTCCAGGTGTGGAGCCAAAGGGTATGTGTGTAGTGCCTTTTGACAGGGACGGTGGGCCTGCGCGCAGCAAGTAATATGCCGACACCCCCGCCGCCCCTGCCAACAGAAACCACGCAGAGTGGTCGCGGGGCTCCCGCGCATGCGCCCGATATGTCACCAGGGATGGTGGGGGTGGGGTTCCGCTGCCGGCCGCCTGGTAGAGGGGCGTTTATTGATGGAGAGCAGTGATCAACCCCTCCGCGAAGGGGAAGAAGGAGGTTGGAAGGGCGAAACTCGTCGATCCACTTCGGCCCAGGGGGCCAGTGGGACTCCCATCTGTGCTCACCGAGCTCCCCCATCCATCGAGGGCTACGGTACTCTTGGCAGGACGGTGGACGCCCCGGGCGAGGCGGGCTACTTCCGCCGCAGCCCTGAGTCTGGCTGATCGGCCTAGGCAGCAAGGTGGCGCTGTATGGGACCTCGCGTTGGGGGCCCGGCCTGGTATTTTTTTTGACAGCGCGAAGTGGACACGCACGCAGCGCTTCGCTGAGGTATTTGCGAAGCAACATCGTGGGGCTATTTTCTGCCCCACCTCGATGTTCGTCGTCTCTCCTCCTTGAAAGTGACGTGGGGGTCCACATGAGTCGACGGTGAACTCGGCCTTGACGTCACTCTTTGCTGCCATCGTGCGCAGTGCATTGAAGCGACTTTGTCGTCCGAATCTCAGCTAGCTTGTTGTTCTCATCGTGGACCTGTTGCCAGCGCCACCAGCGTCACAGTCGCTATTGCTGCTGCTGCTCCTCCCCGTCTTCGCTCCTCAGATGGTCAACGCCGACCCCCCCCCTCGACCAGCTTCGCCGTGCCTCGTCCCCACTGGGTGGCGGGCTCCTCGTCTCCCCCCTCCTCTTCTGCCGCCTGCGAGCTGCGGGAGACGTGGCACAGAGCCTGCGAAGGAAAGCGGGGCTCGAGGAGGGATGGAGGGAGGAGGGAAGAGAGAGGAGGGAAGAGGGAGGGTGGGGAGGAGGGTGGGAAGGAGGACATGAGGAGGACATGACGATGAGCACGAGGCACCGAGGCTCGCCCCGACACCTCTTGCTGCACCGCCGCCGTGCTGGGCTGCTCTCGATGGGCCTGTCTTCCACCACCACCACCATAAGTTGGATGGGGGGAAAGGAGGAGGACGAGGAGGAGGAGGAGGACGAAGAGGAGGAGGAGGACAAGGAGGAGGAGGAGGAGGAGGAGGAGGAGGAGGAGGAGGAGGACGCCCTCCACCTCCAACTCATGGTGGAGGTGGTGGACAACGAGCCCATCAGCTCGGCCCACCCCCACCCCCCCGGACGCGGCGCCGCGCGGTCCTTCGCGGCGCGCGTCCCGCGCCCGGCCGGCGGATGGTTGCCAACCAGGACCGGCGGCTGGAGGTGGGCGAACATCACAGAGTTTTGAGTCGGGCCTGTCCCTCTACAGGGGGGATACCCAAAAATAGTTTGAACAAATTGTCGGGGGACTATTTGTTGAGTATTTGGTTTGACAATTTTGGCAGTAGTTTGTTTGATAATCTCGGAATATTTTGACAATTTGTGGCTGGAGGTGGGCGAACAGCACAAGGTTTTGAGTCGGGCCTGTCCTTCTGCAGTCAGGAGCGAAAGGAGGGCGTGCACGTACATGAATCCACGCTGGTCTCGAAAGTACGCAGTGCCCGAATGTTCGTATCACGCGGCCAGTCTCGCGGATCGAGGGGCCGTGTTCATGTACATAGCTGGGCGCGTACGTCCTTTGTGGGTTCCCTGTGCAGGGGGGATATTAAAAAATAGCCAAAACAAATAGTCTGGGGATTATGTTTCGAGTCTTTTTTTGACAACTGTGGAGTATGTTTGGGGTATGTTTAATTTTTCGTCGGAAATCCCCCTGTAGGGGTACACGCCCGACTTAACAAAAGTTCAGACATGCGACGTCCTGTTTTTGTTCGCAGTGCGGCGTCCCCGGAGGTCCGGCGCGGATTTCTGTTCGCGCTCCGCGCGCCAGGGAGGGGGGGCCAGCGCCGATCGAAGAAGGCCTCGCTGTCTTTTTTTCCCCAACCATCCTGTGGTGTTGGGTCCTCGTTTTGAAGAGACGGCGCCCCGCGTTCCTCACCTCCTCCTCCTCCCCCCCCCTCCCTCCTCCCATCATCATCATCATCATCATCATCATCATCATCATCATCATCATCATCATCATCATCATCATCATCATCATCTCATCATC